CTGGGCCTCCCTTCTGAAGCTGCTGCCCCCGCGAACCGACCCCGGATAGGCGGAAGAAAATGGATGGATGGATGTTTATACTTTTCAAGGAATTTTAGGCCCGATGGCCTGTGCACATTGACACTTGTTCTGTAAATTTTCTGAACATGCTCAAAATTCATGCAACACAGATGCACGACTCTGGGATAGAGAGCTGCTGCAAACATTTTCAGACATTTTAGAAATTTTCTTGTGATTGCCAAGCTGTAATTTGGTGCAGCATACTGGCTTTACACACAATCAGTAAGAATGGGTAATAATTACAGAATAAAAAGAACATTAAGGACTTTTCATTCTTTCTCTTCTCCTGTCTTTTTCATTTGTGTGCCGAAGTGAGGCATATGTGTGCCCCTCCCCCGCAACCTCCCCCCACTGTCACACCACACCACATTCTCTGAAAGGCTCATTTTCTGAGTGTTAGATTGGAGCAAAGCTGCTGACGGCCACACAAAAGCTATGTAAATGAGTTGTGAGAGAAGTCATCAGTCATAATGCCAGATGTGCTCTCCCATTATTATTTATGGCCATAATTGTCCCATGTTTCCTCAGGCAATGACTGTACCCTGATGGATCTGATGATGACTCTGCTCAGCCCAGCCATTAGGAAGCAGTCAGTGGGCAGACAGGAAGAAAAAGGAGAGAAAGTTACACATGTAAGTGGAGATGTGTGGGTCGTGTGAAATGATGCAGCTGACTTGCACAAAGTAAGGTCCACCGAAACACTGACGGAAATTACAAATGCTTCACTTTGCTGACTCAACATGAGTTCAGTTCAGAGATTCACCTACTGCTGAAAGAGGAATGTTTCTGTCTGTGTGTATGCAACTGTGTTTGTTTCAGAGTCATGCAAAATGTCTCATGAACCATTGAAAAGATTTTTTATGAAACTCTCCAAAAGTTATCACTGAGTGTACATTCATAACTGATTAACTTTCAGAATCAACTACTTTCAAGATGACCACCCTAGCTAAGCAATTTAGCAAACACAAAATTGGCTAAAATTCAGCTAATTTCACTAATATTAAGCTAAAATTCAGTGGGATTTTATAAGGCGAGAGTTATCCTAACCAAATACTTCAAGAACTAGATAGATAGAGCTGTTTGAAAACATTGCTATTACAGTTCCACTAAGTTTTCATCAACACTAATTCAGAAGAGCAGAAGTACAGTAACTGCTTGCAAATATGTTACCCATTTTTCATTGGATTGACACGTTTTCTTTACTCTTTTGCAAAACAGTTGACACAGATGTCATTCATGTAGTCTAAACTCCATTGTTTTAGCTCTCAGAAATCACCTGTTCCTTACTATTAGAAGCGATCCACCTCAGTATGACATCACTGAAGCACCTGTTTGACACTCCTTCTCAAAATTCTTCACTTAGTAATCAGTCTGCAGGCCTTAAAATGTGCAACATCTGTGTTGGGTGGATGGTTGGTTGGTTGGATGAATGGATGGAGGTCCAAGACAGAAGAGACTGATTATCAATAACGGGTATTTCTATTTCTTCTTAAGACCCAGGACACGCTGGAGGGACTATGTCTCTCGGCTGGCCTGGGAACGCCTTGGAGTTCCCCCGGAGGAGCTGGAAGAAGTGGCTGGGGAGAGGGAGGTCTGGGCCTCCCTTCTGAAGCTGCTGCCCCCGCGACCCGACTCAGGATAGGCGGAAGAAAATGGATGGATGGATGGATGGTATTTCTTATATTCTAATAGATTTTGTTTAAATTTTCTTAATTTCTTAATCTGAAAAAAATATTTTGGATTACATTTACAGTATTGTCTGTAATATTTACAGTATTTCATTTTTCAGCCACAGTTTAAGAAAATGTCTTGGAATCAATAAAATTTTCAAAGTATTTCTGATTCTGGATCCAATTCTTTGTGAGAAGGAACATTTCACAGCATGAGTAGAAAGCTAACAAATGGCATGAGAGTGATGTAACAAAGACAAGCATTGGTGCACTGAGTGTTGTATTTTGGTGTCCAATATGCAATGACTGATTGGAAGAGCTCATACCCTTGGGTGCAAGTTGTGTTGTTTGAAGGCAGCATTTGCTTTTTGTTTCATATTTTAAATGTTTTGGCTCAGTTAGAGCCTTTTGCAAACAAAATGTGTCACTTTGACCATCAGTGTCACTGTTTAGTCCTGTGTGTTCACTGTTTTGAAAATGTGGAGTTTGAGTGGACTACTGCATCTAAGCAACCAAGAAAAGGTGGGCTAAAGTGATTTTTGTCAAACTACTATACAAGCATGTTGAGCAGGTCTCCATTATGATGCACAAAAAATTGTGCACAGATCAGGTCATATATTTGTGATTTATAGCCAACCATGTGCAAAGTGGGTGGGGCTAATGTGATCTCATCAAACTATGACACAAATGTGTTGAGCACATCTCCCTGATAATGCACACAGAATTTGGCACAGATTGGATCATGTATGTGTGATTTAAAGCTAACTGTGTGCAAACAACAAATCATCAGCATTTGCCACTTTGCCACACCCACACCATCCTGCCTCCAGTCAGTGTTGAGAGAAGCAAGCAGCATGTGAATTCTGCATGTTCAAAGCTTTAGCTAGCTGTAGTTAGCTCAGATACATGTGCAAGAAAAGAGACAAATTAGCAGCTTTGATCCAAAACGGCCGACTTCCAGTGGGGACTGGACCATGACTCCAAGAGACTTTTTTTAGGTCCAGAGACGTTACACGTGTGTACCAAATTTCAAATTTCATGGTTCCAGGTCCAAGCATGTCTTGGGGCATTTTTTAAATAATTGTAGGTGATGCTGTGGAGGAAATAGGCTTACAACACCTAAAAATTGTACTGCATCCCTGTAGTGGGGTGGATTATAATCAACTACAGGTGGACTGGCCATTGGGAGTACCGGGACTTTTCCTGGTGGGCCAACGCATCACTGGGCCGAAAAAAAGGTGTAGTTGCGCTCAATACCAGTAGATGGCGATAATGTGCCAATTCACTGTTTACCAACCACAAAGACCGAAGAAGAAAAAAAGTTTGATGAAGATGAAGAGGAAGAAGAAGAAGAAGAAGAACCGGACCGGAGGAGAACAAAAATTGAGAAAATCATCTACAAACAAGTTCAGCCAAGTGTCAGAAACTGACATTTATTTTCTGCTGTTGCATCATCATCCTCATCCTCACTGGAACCTGCGTCTGGAGAACAACGTCACCGGGAGGAGGATGGTAGTCGTGTAGGTGGCTGTATTTGTTTCTAGTTTGCTAACTTTTAAAACAATGCATTTAGCTGTTAAATAAAATAAAAACATTATCATGTGTGGACTAGGTCCAAACTGTGCTCAGTAGCTGATAATTTTATAAAACTGTTGCTTAAAATGTTTTAACATCAGTTTTAGAAATTTACATCATACATAGGCATTCTAAAAGCTAAAAATCATAAATGTTTGCGGGTTTCACAAATAACTTTGCCCACTTGGATTGTTTGATGATTTATTTTTTTATTGAATCAAGGTCTAATAT